ATACTGAGACATGTTTACAGCCAAGATAGTAAAACAGACATAAAATCTTGTGGCTCCCAAAGTGGTTTCATTTTTGTGGAAAGGACAAAATGGCTCTTCTTAACATCTCGGTTGCAACCCCTGAGCTAAGCCTACTAGTAAGGGGTGATCAGCGCGTGCCCGTTTGCTCTAACTGTCCACAGCTCAGTCATTACTGCACAATCGCCACCAGCCCAGTTAACGACCACGTTCTGTGGTTCAGATTTTGCCTGGATTGCCTGAAGCCTGTAACAAAATTGTAGTGAAAATTATCGCTACAGCTACACAAAATTTGTAGGCACTACAGCTATTAGCTACATTTCAGAAAACTGTAGCAGCTACAGCTATTAGCTACAAAAATTTGTAGTTACCTACAAATTACTCCCCCATCCCTGCATAGCGCCAGTTGGGTCACTGAACTGGGACCCAGGCTTCCTTCTTTGGGGCCTTCAGCTACACATGGTATTGGCATTCACAGGATTTGAGCTCACAGCTGGTTAGTCTGTCTACAGAGTCTTGATCTTCAGAAGGAATAGAAATGTACAGCTGGGTGTCATCAGCATAGCTATGAAAATTTATACTATGTTTCCTAATAACATCACCAAGAAGTAGCATGTACAAAGAGAAAAGCAAAGGCCCTAAGACTGAACCTTGGGGGACTCCACAAGAAACGGCAAATCATTTTAATGAATGATTTCCAAGTGAAACCATGAACTGCCTATTACTTAAATATGATTTAAACCATTCTAAAACTGTGCCTGAGAGGCCGACCCAGCATTCAAGACGCTGGAGTAAAATCTTGTGGTCAATGGTATCAAAGGCTGCACTAAGATCTAATAAAACCAAAATAGAAGGATTTTGTGCATCAGCGCTGAGCCTCAGGTCATTCATAACGTGAATCAATGCTGTCTCTGTACTATGGTTAGAACGAAAACCTGACTGAAACTTCTCATATAAATTGTTTGATATTAGATACGTACTTAGTTGTTTGAAAGCAACTTTTTCTAAGACTTTACTTAGAAAAGGTAGGTTTGAAATCGGTCTAAAATTATTTAGTACGGAAGGATCCATGCTACTCTTTTTTAGCAGAGGCTTCACCAGGGCAGTTTTGAAAGCATCTGGAAAAACACCTGTTGACAGAGAACAATTTACAATAGTTAAAACATAATTGTGCACACAATCAAAAACCATCTTAAGGAATGAAGTAGGAACAGGGTCAAGATCACATGTGGATGAACTTAGTTTGTTTAAGATAGTTGTGAGCTCCTCACAGTTGATAACAGAGAAAGACGTCATTACTGATGTAGGTGGCCTATCAGGAACATTATAGGAGCTTGTTTGCGTCTGCTGAGCTACACCCTGTCGTATCAGGTCTATTTTATTTTGGAAATGAATTGCGAACTCTTCACAGATTTTAGAAGATAAATCATCATTAAACGCACTAGCAGAGAAGTTAGGGTTAATTAGTCGGTCTATAGTGGAAAAAAGGATTATGCTTACGTTTCTGTGTCAAAAAATGTTTAAGACTCTGCACAGTTGTATTGATCTCTTAACTTACTGTTTAATGTTGAAGGCAGCCATAAATGATTTTAAACTACTTTAGCTTTTTAGTAGTGCTTTTTGTATTGAAGTACTCATGCCGCCTCCCAGAAGACCAGTTTATTGTAATGAACGAGATCATGGTTTGTCTTCCAAATCAGATTCAGAAGGTTTAAAAGAAAAAAGGCAAACAGCTTCTCTTTCTGGGATTGCTCTATATGAGTCACATGAAACACTTTTTGTACAGTACTAATTCTGATCAACCAGATGATGGCTTGTCTTCCAGAGCATTCTTGCATTGTAACCTGAGGGTTGAAAAAGCTGGAAGTCTTTTTTGTACAGTGTAGCTGGTTTTACAGATGTTGTTGATGGGATGATCAGTAAATACTCTGGGCTGTATCCAGGATACTGACGATACCAATACAGATTGTCCACTCTACCTTCATACTTGCAGGAGAGATTAGCTCTCTCATCTTCAAGAGCATGAACCTGCATTTTGCCCTCTAGTGGTGTTATTGACTATGAAACACAGTTCTCTGTAGAAAACATACAAAATAAATAAAAAAATAAATTCATTTTAAAAGCGTAAAATTTCCATCAGTGTCCAGTGTTGTATAAAAGATAAATTGCTACACAGCCTAATTTATCACAGACATATACATCACTTTGAATTTAAAAACAGAAAAACTTGGTTTAAAAAGAGAGGAAATCAAGTCAGCTACACATACTTAGCATCATCATAAACAGTGTCAGAGAGCACAGAAACATCATGGCAGTTCCGAAAATTAGGAGAGATTTGGTGCTACTTTTCAAACATGTAAAGACTCCTCCTTCATTTGTCAGGAGGTCTGTTATATGGTCAAAGGACGTGGATCAGGAGAACAACACAATTCTCAGCTTGTAAATGTATTGTTTCCATTTTCAATTTATTATTTTTGATTTTTCAATAAGAACGCACTTGGTTAGATTAGCCTCAGTGAGCTCTTCAGTGAAGTCCAGCTTTGAACATAACAATTCAAATGATATATATGTAATCCCTCCCTAAAGGCACTGGGAAAAATATTTAAGGGGCACACATCTCAGTAATGACATGCAAATCTGCAGATACACAATTGTTATTAGCGCGGTGCCTCCAAAAATGTCTAATACTTATTTTAAGTATTAATTCCTCTCTTGAAAACCTGTCCGATTTGTACTCTTGATTGAACACTTTAGGAAAACTCAACAATGAGACCATTTATTTTGAACACCCAAGCTCTTTCAGTAAAAATGAGAATAAATAAAGTAGGATCAGGAATTAAACCAAAGAAAAGAAAACTGAAACATCTCCATTATTTAAATTAACCTTACTGTTGGGAAAAGAAAGGGTAAAAGAATTATATATAGAAGAATTAAATTATTTGTGTGAACTTACATATTAAAGGAAAATGAGTCAATAATTAGCACAAAAAAGAAAAGGAATAAAACAGCCTCCTGAGCTTGCCTATACCTCAAATGGCAATGAGTTTGTCTGAGAACACTTAAATGGTTTTGTCAACACATGAGTTTACTCATAAACACTTAACTGGGTAAAAGAAGGAACAGGTATGTATTTCACAAACAAAATGCACTACTTCGTCTCAAAATGTAACTCTAGAATGTGCGGTGTCAAATTAGTATAATTCACCAGCGCTGTGATTTAACTACTTATTGGGGCCCGTTTCGTTGGTGCACATTTGCAGATCCCAGACAAAGGCGTTAAGTGACACACTGATTCAATCGATACTCACGAAGCACACAGAACAATGGCGCAGCGTCCCCAGCAGCAGCGCAGCCGGAGAGTACTCACGTTTCCACTCGATTCACAAAGCACAAGCGCGTTGGCTGGAGCAGCATTCCTCACGGCTAATCCTCACACTGCGCAACCCCACTGAAACACACAGTCCGAACTTGTGGGGCAAAGCGATTCACGGAGGTTTTCGAAGCTCAGCACGTAAAGTGCGTAACATCAGTTCAGTCACAACTCCTTCAACTGGTTTAGCTTTCTTTAACAGTCTTTTGACTTACTTGGAAGTGTTCACACGGAGGCCTGTATGCTCGGGGCTAGGATACACAGTCTTTTGCTAATTTGTCCTCTGGTTAACGTTACCCTAACAGCCACTGTATGGCTGCACATTCGCACGAACAAACTGCTTAAAGCATGAAACAAACAGGGTAAGTTGCAGTCCGGGCCAAGATACACGGTATATTAAGTCTCCAAACGACAACTGGGAGCAGAAAGAAAAGAAATAACTTAAGAATCTCTCCGGAGAAGAAGATTAGCTGCATCCACATTTGTCTCTCACGCATCTCCTGGAAACACTGCAGTTGATTTGCTGAAGGTTGCCTTATCTCCCATGAATGTGCACCATCAGCCTCACTGGGTGGCTCTGATCTGGGTGAATAACAGTGTAACTCCATTCCAGTAAATGATGTGAAACAGTCAAACTTAGGCCAGTGTTTTTGACATGATTTGAAAGTCCAACATTTGTTGAGGGCTGTAACAGGGGCAGCGCTGTATGAATGCAGGGTTACTCTGCACTGGAAAAAATGGCTCATCAGTTTAACCAAACCTTCATGTAGTAACAAGCAGTTCAACTAGTTTTATTCAATTAAAAAATTTACTTCGATTGAAAGAATCATTCATTCAGAGTTTTTAGTTGAATAAAATTTGTTCATTTACTTGTTACCATATGAAGGTTTTTTTTAGGTTGAGTTGATGAGCCATTTTTACAGCCAGCATAAATCCACAATTATTCATATGCTTAGCTGGTGTTACGACCTGTCTAGGGGTTTGAGATGATCATAACATTAAAAGAGAGAGCCAGAACAATAAACAAAACCAGCCTAGCTAGAGATGCTAGAGAACTAACTTACCTATGCAAACATAAAGAAACAAAAGTATGGTCAGTCTTTCCTAACTCCCTAAGTATACCAAAAACAGGAGAAAACAAGGTCAAAAGAAATGGCACCCACTCCTACAACCTGGTCGGCATAAGAGTGAACATTTGCAGAGACAGATCATGAGCTTACAGTTTAACTGCAGAGATAACTGGGTATAGAACAAGAGGTAAAGCTAAGCTATTCCGTTTGGGAGGAGAGTAGACAATCGCTAGCAACAAAACAAACAGATCTAAAAGCAATCGCCCCAAGCCGCCATGGAGGAAAGCCTCGATGACATCCGGAAATATACTTCATGCAATTTCAGCATGAAATTATTGAAAGTATAATTATTATTGAAAGTATTTGTTTTTCCCACAATATTAAAAAAAAAAAATTCACATGGTTCTTTTGCATCTGTTACTTTAGTCATTTTCAGAGAAAGTGTAATAACAGATTGTGGTTTGGATGTTACTTTGATCTCCTTGTGTTCAAAGCAAACTGAAGGTGTGAGAGTTTTTGTAAAGCGTCTCAGAGACTTTGTATCACTGGGCTCCAACTCTAAGAGCACAGTAGTAGAGAGCTGTATCTGCCAGTATTAGTTCTGTAACAGTGAACTCAGTGGATGATCTGGATGTAGTAGACTGAAATCTATCATCTGATGTATGGCTACCACTCCACAGTCGAGCCTCTTTAAACAGTAAATACTGTAGAGCTCTGTTAGGATACTGTCTGTACCAGTAGAGCCGAACCCCTTCACTACTTGTTTCATAAGAGCATTTCAGCGTAACAGATTCTCCCTCTTTTGCAGAAACATCAGTCTCCTGATCATCTGAAGGTCCAATTTGATCAGCACCAAACACACCTGAAAGAAAAGTAGAATAGAGAGTATATTTAACATTTTATATCTTAGCATCATAGTCTGAGTGGAACTTCACAGTGAGTACCTGATGTGATGATGAGAATGATGAGGATGTTTCTCTTCATTGTGAATATGATCAGATGGAGTCAGTAGTGTGTTTAAGCTCTCAGTGCCCTAATGCTGATCTGTGTGTTAGTGTGAGTCTCTCTGAAGTGAGTGCAGTTATGAAACACTACAACAGGAAACTCCTGCTCTGGGGAGCTGCTCCACTGTGCGTTCACTCAGCAGGTGTAACAGTAGTCGGTTCAACGTAGGGATAGCCAAGTTCAATTCCATTGCAAGTGAAATAATTTCAGTTGGTCAATATAAATCTCCTTCAGGACAAGACTGAGGGCTCGGTCAGTTATATTTTATACTAAATTCACACACATTTACAGCTGTTCAACTAATATAGTGCATTGGCTAAACTGTTTGCTTTTCATTTATCAGTCAAAACCTGAGGAAAACAAATGAACATTTTTCAAGACTTTATCTTTTTGAAAGAAAATAGGTGACATTTTGAAATCACGAACATAAGTATATCATCAACCATAAGCTTTTACTTTTTTTTTTATTTTATTATTTTATATTTTTTATCATCAAAAGGATCTTTGCTCCTTTTTACCCATCCATAACTGATATGCACCTTTTTCCTTCATTTGTTCTTTCCTCATCCCATTCTTCCATAAACTGCTGTTCCATAAACTGATTTGACTCCTACCCTGATTAGATTTATTCAAATAATCATTTAACTATTTATTTATTATATATGTTTATTTTCAGCTGAAAATACATGTTGAAACCTAAACTAAATCAAGTGATATTTTCAAATTGATTTCATTTCTTTTATCTCTCTCTCTCTCTCTCTCTCTCTCTCTCTCTCTCTCTCTCTCTCTCTGTTGCATCTCTCTCCTCGTTGATTACTGTAAAAGCATACATTAAACATACGTTATAAAAGGCTGTCTGTATCAAACGCCAGCTAATGGGCAAGGTAGCTACTCATACAGTTAATGAGACAATTGCAGCATAATATATCTGCTGATTTCTTAATAATGTTATCTACATAATGCTATCCCATAAATATGCTAATAGTGATCTTTCTCAACAAAACCAACTACTTGGAGCCTAAATTGAGCAGCTACTGGAGCTGGACTAAAGCATGTTGATTTAGCTAGAAATGTTGTGAGTGCTCCAAAAAAATAAATAAATAAACTAATGGAGTTTGCATTTTATAAGCATAAAACGGTTGCTAAGCAGTGATTGAAGGGTTTAGAAAATAACACAGACCTTGGCAGATTTTGATTGGCCATAATAAACTGACAGCACTCACAGAAAAACAAATCAAATTTCATTATCCCAGAAATGTGGCATAACAAATAATCTGTCCCCATTTGATGTGGTGGCCTGTGATACTGTGGCTGCGCTCATGAGTTGACTATATATATATATATATATATAATGACCAAATCTGCTTATATTGTTAATGGAAACAAACTGTATTTACATGAAGTAAAATCTGATTTGAAGGGCTTTAATACATCTGTGTTATCTGTTTCTGTTACGTAAAACATGAAGAAGAAGAAGCCACAGAAGAGCAGGCAAAAGCTAAACTGAAGCATCATTTGGTTCAAAGTCTGCATTTCTTAAGCATGTTTGAAACAGTTCTTTTCTAGATCTAGATTTGACTGAACACTACATGAAAAATAGAAGCATGGAAAAATTGGGAATTGTTCCCTGTGTTACTAAGTTATGCTGAAACCCAATTCTATCCACAAGATTATGTTGTACATAAACCTGTATTATCACAGCCTGGGGAAATAATCATGTCCAAAGATTCATCTTTTCATGGCCTGGCTCACTGATGATCATCCTTTCTCCACTGTCAGGATTTGATCAATGTGCTTTCATCACAGCAGTGTCATAGTCTTCATTGCTTACTGATGTGTCCAACTTGTGAGTAAAATCATTGTAATAACTCAAAGTTATCCCTCTGAGTCTGTTCTCATTTGGTATTAACATCTGTCTGATTATAAGAGAACAGTAAGACATGTAGTTGTTTACACCGGGAATTTCCATGCATCTCGAATGCATCTCCAGTGACTTTGTTGGAATAGATTTCATAACTGGACGATGAGAACTTTACACATACACCGCATTAGTCTCTCACTTTATTTGTTGTCAGACAATACAGCTTGAACTGTATCCTGTTTCTGCCACGCAAGCTTTCACATTTTTTTATTTCACCTCAGAAATGTAACCTTAGTAATATGAAAGAGAGTGTAATAACAGATAATACATTGTGGTTTGGATGTTACTTTGATCTCCTTGTGTTCAAAGAACACAGAAGGTGTGTGAGTTTTTGTAAAGCGTCTCAGAGACTTTGTATCACTGGGCTCCAACTCTAAGAGCACAGTAGTAGAGAGCTGTATCTGCCAGTCTTACTTCTCTAACTCTGAGCTCAGTGAATAATGTGGATGCAGTAGACTCAAATCTATGATCTGCAGTGTTGTCAACACCACTGCTTGATCGAGCTCCTCTATACAGTAAATACTGTAGAGCTCTGTTAGGATACTGTCTGTACCAGTAGAGTAGAACATACTGACTACTTGTTTCATAAGAGCATTTCAGTGTAACAGATTCTCCCTCTTTTCTAAAAACATCAGTCTCCTGATCTTCTGATGGTCCAATTTGATCAGCACCAATCACACCTGAAAGTGGAATAGAAATAATAAATAGATTAAAATAAAATATCATTATGCTAAAGTTTTGAGCACATCTTCACAGTGAGTACCTGATGTGATGATGAGAATGATGAGGAGGTTTCTCTTCATTGTGAATATGATCAGAGTCAGTAATGTGTTTAAGCTCTCAGTGCTCTAATGCTGATCTGTGTGTTAGTGTGAATCTCTCTGAAGTGAGTGCAGTTATGAGAAACTACAACAGGAAACTCCTGCTCTGGGGAGCTGCTCCACTGTGCTTTCTGTCTTTGTGGAAGAACAAAGCATAAATAATAACAGAACCACAAACATTAGCAAAAAGAAACAGAAAAACTGCTTTTTTACAACTGCAGCATTCTCCAACAGGTGTAACCACACAGCAGAATCACCAGCATTTAATGACTCTAACAGAGCTCTGTAAGTCATCCTCAGTTGGAGTTTAGTAATAATTCAGCACTGCAGGTTTTAAAACAGGATTTTTTTTTTTCTGTGAGCAAACTGTTCAATATTTTGATTAAATTTACCATTATAAAAGATAAAAACACTGAGACATCAACATATGAGCTACTTGTGTCAGCTCTTTGTGTGGGATTTAATACTGAATGTGCAGTTTGAATGATTGTAACATGAAGCTAACAGGTGCATTAGTAGGATTATTGTTTAGAACTGCATGTTTGTGTATGATGGTTGAATGTGATGATGTCACAATGGCTGTACACAACAGTACAAAGTAGAGTCTATCTATCTTTCACACATACAGTTTCTGGATTGTCAGTAAATTTAAATGTAATGTTTTGATGTCTTTCGAACTCATCATTATTGTATAGTTATATTATTGAATAATATACTGAAATAATTTGCCCTGAACTGTTCAGCACTGCTGAAAGTAAACCATGCATTCATTAGCTGCTAACTTAGAATGTCCAGTGTGTCATGCACCTTCCTCTCACCTGGAAGACATGTGCATCTTTTACAACATGCAGAAGAAGCAATCTGTGCAACCCAGTATATTCATACTTAAAATAAATAAATATCACATTTAAACATACATAATGATTGTTGACCATTTACAAATCTGTGTATTTATGTATTCACACATATATTACAGTTTCACTCTGTTGAAAATAATCTTTTTCAAAATTAAAGCATATAAGGAATGAGTTCAGATTTGACATTACATTTCTGTTTTGAGAGTGGATTATGTAGTTGTCATGTTTTAAAACACTACTCATGTTTCTATTTGTTGCAGCAGCAGCAGGTGTTAGTTCATACAGCCGGTAAAAGTGGCACAAATCTGTTTTTTTTTTTCCAATTCTTCATATGTGACACAGATGTGTTATCTGTGTGTCAGCAAATAACACAGTGAGTCTGATTTTCAGTTCCGATTTGAGACGCTTTTATATGTGGTACTGAAATCCGAATCCGATATGCGGCTATGCAAATCAGTCTGAACGGCCAGGTCACAATTAATGCGGCTTTTACGTCAATCCAACTCCACATTCGTCATAATTGTGCGCTGCTGAGACCTCATAAACATTTAGGCTGATGTTTCAGTACAAAAATTTAGAAGAGACTTATCCAAAATCCTCCGTGTTCAAAGAGACTTCGAAAGAAATCGCCAAATGCAGCTGTAGGAGAACGAGGCTGCAGCGTCAAAGAGCAGTCAAAAGTCTGAAAGCATAGTATAAAGAATCTGAGGACACGAACCAAAGAAGCGACCGCCCTTTTCATGGCGCGCTTGAACACATTCTGGGTGATGAGCCCAACTGTCAGCCAGTGAAGGTTCAGGATCGCTTCTGTGATGCTGGCGAAGATGAAACTGAAAGCTCCGGGAGTGAACCAGCATTTGATGGCAGTCATGATTGTTTACCTCTGGATGCGCGCGCCACGTGAAGCAACATTATTACTCATGCGGGTCGGTTTAGGAGCGTGATCTGTTCAGACTAATGTCGCGTACAGGTCACATTTAAAGGATAATGTGAACAGCCAAACAAAAAAAATCTAATTTGGGCCACTTTTACCTGCTGTGTGAACGAAGCATAAGAGCACAGTAGTAGAGCGCAGAATCTGTAAGCTCTAGTCCACTGATAAAAACTTAAGTAGATGTATCAGTTGTTGTTGCTTCAAGTCGAGCGTCAGTGGGCAAACTTTTCCAACTACTGATTTTTATAAAGTAAATAATCTAGACCTTCATTAACGCACTGTCTGTACCATTAAAGCCAAGTGTCTCTGCTGGTTGACTCATATGAGCATTTCAGTGTAACAGTGTCTGTTTTTTTGTTATCTTCCTCTGTTGGCCCAATTGTATCTGCAAAACACCTGAAATTAAGAAAATAAAATAGTCTAAATTTAATGACACAGTAAGCATC